CTATTACCATTGTGTAGGATTTTCATCGCATTTTGTGACAGGATAGTCTATACACACAGCTTTCTGACACTCCCTACCAAGTGCATCTAAGTTACTCCCATATGGTGTGTGGTAATTACATTCCTTTAAAACAAGATTCTTCTGGCAGTTTCTCCTATCCAATATCTCCTTTGTCACAGGAGGCATGCAGGAAATGTTTCTGAATGACAGTAAAAGTGCCAAATTGCAGTTAAAATCGACAAATTAAGAATTTGGCAAATAAATTAATTACTGATGTCCATGTAAACAAATATACTGTCTTTCTCCCCTCCATCTGTGTGTTGTTTTGCCTCTGAAAATCAGTGCACGCTCGAACCGAAAACTTCCCTTTTCATGCAAATCCTTCCCTCTTGTGCCACTCGACACTCACCTAAACAAAGCTGGACTCATCCACTTTCCAGACTTTTTTCAAACTAGAGGTGTTAAAACAACTTGCTGAGACAGGGGGTTTCATGGCCCTTTAACACTGATTTCACTGCAATTTGTGGTATTTACTTTATTTATCTAACAAAATGCTAAAAGTTTATGAATTTAAAAATAACCTATTAAAATATAAATAATAGTTTATAATAATAAATTATAAATGCTAATATAAATATATACATACAAAATGACCTATTAAACTGGAAAAGGCTATGGTGCTTCAACATATATATATATATTAAAAAAAATCAAGCGCCTTTAAATGTGAACGAGATATCACAGCCTTCACTTCACTAATATGATGATATATTAAAACAGCTACATATTTGTAAAGGACAAAGGTTCCTATAAAAATTCAAGAAAAAAAAATCTGCAATACTTTCCTAACTATGATCATACATTATTAAGTGAGAAAAGATACTATGAAATAGAGAGATCTAAACCCATTCTCTCATGTGAATTATTTATCGAACTCAAATAACAGATGGTATAATTTTCTTAAAATATCTTAATCATTATTCAAAAGGCACCATGGTATAAAAAAGCTCCTGTACACATGCTTGTTTTATAAATCCACACATAATAAATCCACATAAATCCACACAGATCTAAATCAACATCAGCAGAGTCCTATAAACAAAGGCATTTGTGTCTTCTGACTCCTGACCGATCATAATTCCTAAAATTAAAATGTTATCCGCGCGCCAGGTCTGAAATATAGGATCTCACGTACAGAGTATAATTATCATTTGATTATTAAAAGACTCTCCTGAAGGTCTTGTGTCATCTCGGTGATGGAAAAATGATGTCAAACTACCCAAGCAAATTCAATTACCCGACCAATTACTCGCCTGCGTTCGTACTGACTTATTGGGACATGAAATATTAATGGGAGCATAGATTTCAAATTTGCTCATCATTAGAAGGTGCACACATTGTGGGCGAATCACAGATGTTCCACATCACTCAGATCCTTTCAGCACAGAATAAAACACTCCAGCACAAAGGAGCACCTACATCTGTTGCTCCATGCTTAATAAAAGGCTGCTGGTCCTAAATGAGCAGGATTTTATCAAATAAATCTATGTTTGCAAATATATAAGTAAGCTTTTGTCAACTAAGTTACTCCAATAGAAGTCTATATGGTGGCCGAAAGAGCACAAATGTGCTGCAAGTTAAGAAAAACAACACAGGTTGATTGGGAATATGTGCCCAGGGCTACATGATTGAGAACACCGAAATGTTTACATATGGCTGAATTTAGTGTGCAAAATGACACAATCGAAAACTTCTGTTCCATTTTCATGTTATATCGCTGATCACTCATCTCCATATGGAATGTATGGTCAATTAAAAAAAAATAATAAATAAAAATAAAAACCTCCAGTTTGCTTAGTAGTTTGTCGCAGAGTGGAGTGGACAGGGTTTGAGCCCGGCAAAGAATGCTTCCAGAAACAGTTGATCGAAACAAAAAAACTGTGTAAATTTGTGGTACACATGTGGCATAAAGGCTTTTCACTCATAGTTTGCTTATGAAAACACTATCGGTTGGGTTTAGGGAAGGAGGATGGTGGATCAATGTAATTACTAGTTTTTTTTTTGTTTTTTTTTTTTGACATTGCTTTATTTTAGTTTAGTTTTCATTACTTTCAGTATTAGTTTATATTTTTTTACAAATTAGGATATTTGTTGTTGATTCAAAATGATCAGAATAAATATTGTATAATAAAAACTCAACCATATAGGCCACATTTTTTGACACTTCTTTAAATTTTCTTATGACTTTCTGTTACGAAAAACACTTAGCTATCGCCAGATCCTCTTATTTAAGCCCTCGGTTTACCCGTGCAGCAGTTGTTCAAGAGTAGTGGAGTTTAGTTCAGTCACAGCAGGCTGTCATGTACTGTTTGTGTTCAGTTCACCACCTGCTGAATCACGCATGCACAGTATTATCAGTTCACCACTTCTCATATCTGATTTAATGAACTGATCTAATAACTGAAAAACTATTGGTTTATCTCGAGTCAGAGGGGGAAATTAGGCATGATACAACGTGAGTAGTTTGTGGATAGGTGCTTAACATTACTGGAGATGTGAATTGTTTCAAATGATTCAGTTTGATTTGGTGAACTAGTTCAACCGTTCACATAGAAGATCAGCTTAGGTCGTATTTAATATTGTCAACATGTTGATGTCATGTCCAGCCATTGTTTTTTGTTGCTGGAGCAACAGCAAAGATGACTGAAGGAGAATCGGCTTGATCTGGCCAATGGCGTCAGGATTACAGACTCTGAGGTGCCGTACAGGTCAAACACCTGCAGCGCGAAGCAAATAGATTTACTTCTAAAAAGGCTTACAGTATGTTTACATATTAAATAGATTTACTTCTAAAAGGAATACATTCTGTATTAAATACAATTACAAAGACCAAAACGAAGGACATTTTTGCTATAATTTTAGTTAGCTTCAGTTAGTTTTGGATATACACAATAATGTTTCTGTTAGTTCTAGTTTTTTTTTTTTTTTTTAAACTCTCGTTTTTATTTTTATTTCAGTTAACAAAAATGATTTTTCAATTCTAGTTTTTGTTTTTTCGTTTGTTTTTGTTAACTATAATAACCTTGTTGTGGGTGAGTCTATATCAAGCTGTTATATTATGTATAAGTTGGCCGGATGTTGATATTGGCAGAACTTTGTACAAAATGGCCTCTGGTGGATTAACGACAAATTGCACGTATGAGAAAATGTGCCTGAATAGCGTTTTTGAGATTTGCGGCCTCCAGTGGATTTGTGAAAACAAAAACTGCAAGCATGCGCAGCCCTACGCACATATACTGTATTGCGGTTCTCAAACATATAGCCCCGGGCACATATCTCCAATAAGCCTGGATTAAAGAAGACATGTGCAAGTAGAAAAACAATAACATCTTCATTAGTTTGACAAAACACTTGGACATAAATTCACAAAACACATGCAAATACAGAGATGCACTGCAAATAGCATTTTATCATAGAAATGTGTCAAGGGTCCCAAAAAGTGACGAATACCTGCCTCCTGGTTAGAGACAGCAGTGTTGTTGGAGATCTGAGAGTTGTTTTTTTGTTTTTTAACATCCTGATCACACGGTTTCTTGTTGCTTGTATATTTTTTAGTCGTAATAATCAGACAAATGAAGCCACTTCTCAGATCACAGAGAACACCGCTGACTGTACAGAGGAAGCTGCCAGGTTCTTCACTTTTTGTGGAGTGCAAGGTTTTGTTTTTTTGTTTTTACCAGTAATGACACAGGCTTGTTGTACAATAAGATGATCTACAAGAGGCATCATTGTGGAAATTTTTTTCTAAGGTTTTATTTAAATTTGAACAAAACCTTTAAGTCAGAATTGGGAAGGGATATGAATAATTGCGGGCTTGACTGTATACCTGATTACATGTCATATTTGCGGGACCATGCGATCAGCTGTTGCAAAGCTAGTGCTTTGACATTTGGCTCAATCCTGGCTTAACAGTTTGACCTTTGGACTTTTTCACCTTTGGACTGTTTTCAGGATGATAACAGTAGGCGGCACATGCTTCTATTCATCATGAATGCAATGTAAAAGTTCAAATAAACAAGAAGGGGGTCATTTTCTGTTGAAGTTGCCAGTTAAACGTGTCAAAAGTCAGTGATTAAACACCTAAATACACCATTTGACCATAAATGATTATTAGAGCCTCACTTCAGTAATTTAGAGTAACATGAACCATCCTGGAGTTCACCTGAGCCACGCACCAGACTACAGTTTGCGAGTGGGACTGCAACTCTGTCCCTGCACACACTTTATTTTACATTCTTCCTCCAAACCACAAGTATGAAAATGCATCATTGACAAAGTTGCATGAGTCTACGTATGTTCTGCATCCTTTATATCCAAATTAATTAATGGAAAGAAAAAATTCTTCTCTAGTGCCATATCTAGTGCGCAATTTTTATTTTAATCACATACACCTGAATGCACACTTGTTTACCAGTTATGTGCATCCCTTCCCAGTTAATTAGGCTATATGTATAGTTTGTTGCCACATCAGCAAAGTATGGCTATTTCATGGCAAGACAGACTACATATACTGTATTGGCACATCTCACATTACCAAGGTTGAATCATAGTGTGCTTATATACAGATATATTGCACTGCTACTTGTGTGATATTGATCATGCTGCATATAATTATATATTAATTATAATAACAATATCTATTAAGTCTCTATAATCTTGAAGGTTATGACCTCAAAACAATATTTCATCATTTGTTTTTTTATTATTTTATCTAGGTGACTATGCTTTTTAGACCCATAACAATTCAGTGACTCAATCATCTAATTTAGGAGTATTTAAAATCAATTTGGGAGCCTCAAATACACATCTGAATGGAGAAAGAGCATTAACTGACTGTAAGCCCATCAGACAGACACCACATTCAAAACAGTATGAGTTAAGATGCAGCGTTGCTCAAGTGTTTGGTGCAAAAACACAGATAGAAAAAGAGAGAGCGGTACCTGCTGTTAAACCTTTCTGGATGCTTCTCTCTCATAATGTGGAAGCGATGAGCGATGGATGCATCCTGCAAAAGGAGAAGAAAAAAAAAAAAGCGAATCAGATCAGCTTTATATACCGGCATCTGACAATGCTTCGTTAGGAGCTTTTTGACGTATTATGCTCATGTGTGAGATTTGCGGTGCATCTGGGTCTGGAAATCTTGAATTTGTCAAAAACAGCTGCGCGAAGATGAAAAGACAACAGATTGAGGATCGCATTGAATAGTTTCGTGATGGTTTTATCACGGGCCATTAGCTAGAAACAAAAGCCTCGCGTCAGAGCCGTCGCAGACAGAGACGTGTTTATTTTAAAACCAGATGAATGTGTTTTAAAATCAGACAAAACTCTGGTGCAGCATACAGACCAAAAATTACAACCAAAGTGTGACTTTTTTGACAATTAGACTGTTACACCAAATGTTACAGGGGTGGTCCACTACGATATCATATTATAACTTTAGTTGATGTGTAATGTAGCTGTGTGACTATAAACAACATCTCTGAATATAGTAACATGCTCAAAGTTCAATGAAAAGGGTGAGGTAAGCATGATCAAACACTCAATGAGGGGGGAGAGCATGCTCAGAGCCCGGCGGCTAGTCAGCGGGCCAATCAGAAATAATAAATAACCTGTTTATTCTAGTGATTGGGCCATAGAGACATTCTGCTTAAAGCTGCAGGCACACTTTCTCCCCATAGACTACAATTTATACGCACGAGAATGCGTCAGACTGAAAACAAAAGTTTGTGGGTCAAGTTTTGCAGTTGAGGATCAATCGAGGATCAAAACATGACCTCTCTGGACAGAAAATTAAAATATGGCCCAATCGCTCACTTTTTAAAATGTCTAACCATCTTGTTTACCGCCCGTTTTCGCAGCACCGTACGACAGAATTTCACATCGTTAGAAGAAAAGGAGCAGTAGCCAGTAGAAGAGGGAGAACACACGCACACACAGAGCTACAGTGATGTCATGTTTTCATTTATAAAAAAAATATTATTTACCTCATATCACTGACCCTGTCTTCTTCTTCCCATCCTACAAACAAACTTTGCTACAGAGACATTGGCTTTTACAGAAGTATCTTAGCAAAGCCTACAGGGAAAGATGTTTGGGGACTACAAAAAAATACATTCTGGCTAGTGAGATCACAAACGCTTCAGGTTATGCGCATTTACCACACGCATACACCCCACGCACGGAAGGGGCCTGGTCAGATGTGCTTTAATGTTATAGCAGAGATAGCCAAATTCTGCTGTTTCCACAGAGCTACTTCTATTTCTGTATTTCGGCTTCCAAAAGACATGACACAAAGAGAGAAGTGCTAATAAAAAATAATTTGAATCATGTTCCAGAAAATTACAAAAAAATATATAGCTAGCATTTAACAAAGGAAAGCTTCCAGAATGTCTTCTAGTTCAGTGCTGGATTCGGTTTAAACTCGTCCAACCGATGAAGCTGTGGATTGTGAGCCACAACCTGTAAGTATCTTTATTTGTTAAAATGCATCTAATATATGGACAGTTTCTAGCGTTTACAGTATGTTTTAGTGAGGACGTACTTAAGGATGTAAACAACAGAAAACGCTGTTTGGCACTGCTAACAATTAAGCTGCAAATTCATATTTATCAGTCAAACCGCTGTAAACAGCCACAATTTTCAGCAGCGCTGCAGTGTCTCTCTATGCAGACGCTTTCCGTGCATTCTACATCTCAAATTACAAACTCGCAAAAGATATGTGAACATTTCATATTACTTACACATGCGTGTAAGACACTTTTTCGATTTTATTTTTGAGAGAAGGCTCGAGGTTCAGCTGTATGCTCTTCATTTTCGGATTCAGCAAAATTGTTTACACAGCGCAAAAGCGCGTGTTTGTAGGGCTGGGACATGGCGATGTGGAGCCAATTTGCGAATCACAACATAATATGTTAGCTGACTAATCAGAGCCTCTTGAGGGCGGGTCTTCCAGAAGAACTAGGAAATATGACATTCGTTTTCATGTTAGCAGAGTAGCTGTATATAATCAAAGTAAGATACATGAAAAAATAACGTGATTTTCTACAAATGAAGCACAAGCCTTAAAAATACACTGAGGACCACCCCTTTAGAAGTTACAATATACAGCTGAAGTCTCCTGAATTATTAGCCCCTTGTATATCAACAGAAAGTAGATTTTTTCTAACATATTTCTAAACAATAATTTCTAATTACTGATTTATTTATCTTTGCTATGTTTCACAAGATATTTTGCAAGAGACCAGTATTAAGCTTAAAGTGCAATTTAAAGGCTTTACTAGGTTAAGGTTAGGGTAATTAGGCAAGTCATTGTATAAAAGTGTTCAGTAGACAATTGAAAACTAATATAGCTTAAGGGGGTTAATAATATTGTTTTAAAAAAAATTAAAACTGCTTTTATTCTAACCAAAATAAAACACATACGACTTTCTCCTGAAGAAAAAAATATTATAGGAAATACTGTAAAAATGTCTTTACCAGTGGCGTTGCGATGGGAGCTCTGGGGGCTTAAGCTCCTAATGTATTGTTAAAAAGCCCCTGATCTTTTCGGAAAATGTTGCATAAAAAAATATAATAAAAGGTTGTATGACATTTATTTTGGTATCTAGGTACTTAAAATTACCACATACTGTACATCACGTGCATTCCACTTAACGTAGCTCGTTTGTCTGTATTTAAACAGTTTTTAAAGTAGTATTTAAGCAGTTACTGTTTCAACTGATAAGAGGGAGTGGGACTGTTGTCACTGCACTATCATCATTCATTCATTATTTGGAGGAGCTGAAGCTGATGAGGTAATATTACAACTGTTTTGCCAAACTCAATAGTTCTAACTACTGATGAGGCTTAATATTTGTTTTCATAGTATAAAATGAGTGTAGTTTTGGTAAAATAAAATAACTGTAATCAATAAAATGTGTACCATATCAATGTAAATACATGCTAATTATTCAGATTAAAATTAAATTATACAAGCTTTCTAGATAAGATATAGATATCTAAACATATTTATCTAGATTTGACATAGCCAGTCACATCTGTTTCTGTAATTGTTAAGTCACAGTGAGTTAATGCATCTAGCTTATTATTTTATAGCTATATTCTACTATTGCATGATATGTCATTTAGCATCAAACTTTATTCTCATGAAAATACCTAAGAAGGATGGACGAACACATACAATATAGAACATTTATTGTCGCAGTTGTGTAAACGGTCAGTTAAAGCCTTTGTATTGTTATTCAACTTCTTTGGGGCTAGGCCCCTTATCCCTTTTGACCCTAGCAATGCCATACGTCATTTGGGAAATGTTTGAAAAGCAAAATTCACAGGAGGGTGAAACATTTTGACTTTAACTGTACATAAAAGTGAATTTTAAGTAATAAGCTAAGTAGTAGTCACAATAATAACCATCATCCCCTTCATTATCTATCAAATATAAAGCTACAAAGCTAAACATTTTTAGAAATACTTGTCAAATATTTTTAGCATAGCTTTAGCTCCATGCATATGTATGTGGTTTAACAGAAAAGGTGTTTGTGATTCTTTGCTGGTGTTCAAGCCAGCGATGATGAGTATTGACAAGAGGACTGAACACATGCTTCGGCGAATTAAACACACACACACACACACACACACACACACACACACACACACACACACACACACACACACACACACACACACACACACACACACACACACACACACACACACACACACACACACACACACACACACACACACAAACGCACACACACACACACACACACACACACACACACACACACACACACACACACACAAACGCGCACACACACACACACACACACACACACACACACAAACGCACACACACACACTGAGGATGCTGCATCTCTGCTGGCACTCATCGTGTGTATTTTTCAACTCCGACATCAGGAGTTATGGGTTCAGATAAACTTGTGTGCATTCTGTATGCAAGCATTTTGTGTACTTTAAATGTTTTACTGCTATTGTGATGTATCCACTTGTTAAGATGTGTCGTGCTGTACAGTGTGTTACACTGTTTTGGGTCCAAGCCTCTACTTATTTGAATTGAAAAAAAAAAAAAAAACTTGAACCATTTATGACAAGACCATTATGCAAAAACACTTTTATAAGAGGTTTAAACATAATTGTGTTTCAGCTTCTGATGGCAAAAATATTTTTTCTCAATCACGCCTCATAAAAACAGTCTGCAGAAACATTTTAATTAATATTCTGCCTTTGGACAGGGGAAAGTAGCGGGGGTAAGAACTAGTCTTCCATTGTAGAGGGGGAAAGCCCCGCCCATTAGTGATGATCTCTCCCTCATTAGCATATGTTAGTCTTGATTTTGAATATGCCACTATGCTGACACATAACGCATTTGTAGCTCTGCCCTCTTTTGAAAAGAGCACAGTCTCATTTTAATTTAAAGCAACGGTCACCAAAATGGCACAATTTGGATCAAAGCCTAAAAGAGTTATAAAATATTATTTGTGTAGTATTTTGAGCTGAAACGTCACATACTTGTTTTACATCCTAAAAGGGGCAAGTCCCCTTTAAAACATATTTTACAGTTTAATTTTCTCTACATTCTCTACATTTGTTGCTTCCCAGACATCAACATTTGAATATTTATAAACGGTGAATCATTGTCTGAGCATCTGAGATTAGGCATGGATGTAAACTTTACCATCATAATTTTCAATAGTATTACAGAGTGCATGCAGTATAAGTTCCATTTGTTGTTTGCATATGACATCTGACAGCATTTTGAACCATAAACTGGCACTTAAGCATATAGAGATGGAGGTTGACAAACTGTATATTTGTGCTGACTGAGAAACGTTGAGCAAACGCAAAGCAATATACAAAAAGCAGTGTGGCTGTTAGTACATTAGTATAGTTTTAATTCAGCAGAATCCCACACGTCTGAACCATTAACACACGCACACACACTAATATATTGGCTGTTGCTTTTGAAAAATACTGTCAAAGTTA